GCGTGAGACTGCGGTGCCCCCAATTTCAAAAAATGATGTGGATGTTCGATGGGTGTATTTGTCGCGGGTGTCTGCCGTTGGGTCCGCCGGGAAATTACAGCACCATCACCTCTCCCGCACGGAGTACAAGAAGCAAAAGGAAGGAAAGGCCAGACCATCACCAAGAACTACTGCTGTTGTGTGCGATACGTAGTGTCAGTTGTAGTATGTATGTATGTCTGCGGAGCCCCCTGCTGCGCGGAGGGCACAGCAAAGTAGGAGTACAAGTTAGAGTATACTGGGAAGCTGATGTACAGAGAGAGCCAGAACGAGAGAGAGACAGACAGAGACAGAGAGGGATCCTACGTACGTGTTGTTGTCGGGTTGTGTAGTGATACGGGTGATGGTGTCTGCTACTTGTATCTGTGTCTCGCGAACAGCAGTAAGTAAGTGTGGTGCGCGGTGCGCGCGGGAAAACATCCATCAACTTTTGTATAGCACACGACACACAACACGACTCGCTGATGTGCACACACACGCAAAGATTATGAATGTGTGCTCTGCTTCTTCTTGATGTCGAACAGGTCAGTCAGGTCAGCTCTGTAGGGTGTGGATGGATGTTGTGCAAACGACTCAGGGTGAGGCGCGCAGCAGAGAGAGCGGCCTAACAACAAAAAACCCGTTAACGGTATACAAATAATCTACACCACCAATCAATGATCTCCTCTTTCCCGTACACTCAAGGAGATTGTCAAGGTCGCGTGTTATATCCGGCATATGACCCTTGGATTTTTTGCCCCTTGGCGAGATGACTCCCAAGGTTGCCGCACCGCCGAGATTGCCAAGGTTGCGTGTTGCCGGTATTGCGATGACCTTTGGATTTTTTCGGATTTTTTTCCCCTTGGCGAGATGACTCCCAAGGTTGCCGCACCGCCGAGATTGCCAAGGTATCGTGCTGCCGGCATTGCAATGACCTTCGTATTTTTTACCCCTTGGCGATGTTACTCCCAAGGATGCCGCACCGCCGAGATTGCCAAGGTTGCGTGTTGCCGGCATTGTGATGACCTTTGGATGTTTTACCCCTTGGCGTGGTGACTCCCAAGGTTGCCGCACGGCCGAGATTGCCAAGGTAGCGTGTTGCCGGCATTGTGATAACCTTTGGATGTTTTACCCCTTGGCGTGGTGACTCCCAAGGTTGCCGCACGGCCGAGATTGTCAAGGTACAAAATTCAGGAAAATGAGGCACGTCCACCTTGGCAAGGTGGGGGGGGGAGGGGTATTTTCTCCACAAGGGGGTTCGACCTCCACCTGTGTCTCTACTCAACGCTAAATCTCCCACGTTGAACCCATCCATCGAGGAGGTAAAGCAAAGACGGAAGGTACCGACCGCTGACGGCTCGCAACACCTGGGGTTCGCGGCTACCCTGGAGGAGACCCGGAGGGCAGCACGGGGGATGAAAAACAGGAAAGCGCCTGGTCGTGATTCCCTGCCGGTAGAACTACTCAACATCGACCACGTAGACGACCCCATCGTGATCGAAGAAAACCACGCCATCCTCGTCAAAGTGTGGAGCAGGAGGGAGGTCCCGCAGGAATGGAAAGATGCCACCATCAAGGTACTCAAAAATAAGGCCGATCGATCCAACTGTACCAACTACAGGAGGATATCCCTTCTGTCGCATGCGGGTTAGGTGCTCCTAAAAAATGTCGCTAACCGTCTCAGCGACTACTGCGAGAACGCGACATCTTGCCGGAAGAGCAGTGCGGCTTCCGACCTGGCAGGTCAACCATCGACATGCTGTTCGTCGCTCGACGACTGCAGGAGCTGGCAAGGAGACGGGGTATCCCGCTGTACATGTGCTTCGTCGACCTCCACAAGGCCTATGACTCAGTTGACCGGGAACTACTATAGCAGGTGCTGGCCCGAGGGGGGGCCCCGGGGGAAATGATCACCGTCATTCGCCAGTTCCACGACGGCATGCAAGCGAGGGTACGCATGGACGATGGAGAGCTCTCTGAGTGGTTCGAGGTCACCCAGGGACTGCGGCAACGATGTGTACTGTCCCCACTGCTGTTTCACATCTTCTTCGCGGCACCGCTCGAAATAGTTCTGGTACGATTCAGCCAAGACGGAGTTATCCTTAGGGACCTGGTATACCTCGAGGAGGAGGCTGGGATGAGGGCAACGACACCACTGGAACGAGTCCGGAAGGCGGTGTGGGGTATGCTGTACGCCAACGACGCTGAGTTCGTATCGAGATCGGGCGAAGGCCTGGCGAGGATGATGACCCTTATCGTGGAAGTGTTTGGAGCATTTGGATTGACAGTGTCGCAGAAGAAGACAGGGTCTCTCCTGATGAAGGTGCCGGAGAAGAAAGCGAAGAAGGGAGCACCGACACCGACACCCCCACCACCTACGGCACCGCTGGTGATCGAAGCAGCGGGGTAGAAGTACGCCCAGACGGCGGAGTTCCGATATCTGGGTAGCCGGGTAAGAGAAGATGCTGAACTCACGCAGGAGAACAGCCAAGGGAGCAGAGCAGCGTGGGCTTGTCTCCGGAAGTACGCCCCGGAGCTCTTCGACAGACCGACTGCACCGTGGGGACTAAAGACCCGGCCCTGCTGCATGGATGCATGACGTGGGCCTCATGCCGCAAGCACTACGACATCCTGACGACCACCCATCACCGTCTTCCACTACGGGTTATCGGCTACCGCCGCACGCACGGCCAATATCGGAAGCTCTCGTACGCCCAAAGCGTGGAGGCTATTGTTCGACAACGGCGACTACTGTTTGCTGGAGCAGTGGCCAGACAATGGGACGTAGGACTCCCGAAGCGACTGATGTTTGGAGACCTCGCAGGGGGGAAGGACCCAGACAGCTGGCGTCCATAAAAGAACTGGGTTATGCTTGAAGGACGACTTCGTAGAGTTCGGTGCCAACGACGAATCCACGGCTGGCGATCTGCGGACGTTCGGGATACCGCGCGGCTGCTGACCTGTCGCAGCGAAGCTGGAGAAAGGGGTGCCGTCGTACAAAGGGGTGATGGAGGGAACGGGGAAGTTCATGGTCAAATGGCACAAGCAGCAAGGGAAGCGAAGCATACTCCGCGATGAGGAACGGAACAAGAAAAACACCGGACAGAAGACCAAAAGGACGGCAGAGCAGGGGGGAAAGGGAACACGGGGGGGGAAACGTCGGAGGACGGAAGACACGACTGCAGCCGAAGAGAGCAGGACGGAGATAGCTCAACGGAAAGAGAGATGTGTCCCGGGATGATGATGATGACGGAGACGATAGCAGGAATACCAGCTGGATGTATCCCCACATTTTTCCGTCGTGTCGCTAACCCCCCCCCCCCTCGCAGTGCCCCCGAAGGGATTATGTGTCGTCGGAAGTCGGTATGTACCTGTTTGGTGTCGCGTTAGTAGTTGCATATTTCGTTGTTGTTCCGGTAGACTGGAGCTTTGCAGGGGACCAGTCTATCTCCCGTTTTTTGTTTCGTTGTCCTTCCCTCTCTGTGTTTTTTCTTATTCTCTGTATATTCTTTCTTTCTTTGCCTTTTGTTATTTCATCCCTTTGACCGGGATCGTCGATCGTCTTTATCCCGATTATAGTTTTCCTTACTGTTGATCTTGTTTCGGGTGGATAATAAATCGCGCCTTGGAGGAATTTTCTGGTCTTCTTTGTTTTTTGGCAAGGTGTACTCCCCCCCCCTTATGGGGGGCAGTTGACTTGTGACCACGGAAGACGTCCGCGTCAGTTGGACCAGTACGGATATTAGAAGGTACTGAGTGGAGACCGGAACGGTTCTTAATGTGAAGACAACAACAACTACAACAACAACTTCGTTAGAGATAATACCACGAAAGGGATATGTGCTGAAGTCTTTTCACTGGGTTAGGGAAACCGGCTCGATGCTGGGCTATTCTTGAGTCCATCAACTGAAGAAGAATTGTACCAGTGATGCGAGCTGGTGCTAAGAACAAAACCAGCACCTGCGTATGTAGGTATGTATGTAGGTTTTATTTCGAATCCGGCGTAAGAATGTGACTGACACATAATAAGATGATGAGCAAAGATCCAGCCTATTTCACTACCGCGCCAAACATCATACGAGGCATGAAACATGCAAACCTGTCGTGCTGCTACAAATATGACGGCAACACGGCTTTTGGGAATACATGCCAAATCCTTAATCCATCCACACCTAAGCCAAACCACCCTCTGCTGAGGAGCAAACGCCAATACGTTCGTCCACAGGCAGAGACGTTGCGGCACTGGCACACACATGGTCTCATCACTGCTGTGAATTCCCAGGAAAGGCAACAACATGCGTTGGCACCCTATCGCCTCCCTACGTAAAACGCAATACATTTCCGAATGCGGACGACATAGAACCCGTGTATACGACCCCGGTGTCTCACTTTCGCCGGGGCACTGCAATATGCGAAACATTTCGTACTGCTAAACATGCTAAAAGCACCATGGCACAACACCACCATTGTTGGTGATAGCTGCACGGCAAGCATGCTGTACATGCGCTGCTCGAAAGACTGGAACACAAGAAAATAAGCCCCCCCCCGCCCACCACCCTCCCGCTGGATGGCTGGGTACACGAGGAGCTAAAGCAACAACGCAGGGTTACCAATTGACGTCGATATTAACAACCTACACGCATACTAGTCTCGGTGCCGTGGCGAGAGCACGACTCATTACCCGATCGAAGGGCAGTGTTTCCATGCCAAATGGCGTTTTGACGGGTACTCCCCGTCCCACGCAAAAAACACACCCGCGTCTCGAACTACCACACGCAACAAGCGACGCCTGAAATGTTCCCCAAGTTTACCCTAATATCCTACAACTGACTGCCTTTCCTCCCTTTCGCTGGGGATCAACCCTCCCCCTCGCTACGCAAGGCGTTCGATTCCTGAAATCCACGGCACGCAGTCACAAACCACAGAGACCATCATGCATTTGGGGGCTGGGTACGACCACAGCGTTCGACTATAACTTGGCAATGCCCACGCCGTATTTCGTTGTTAGATTCTGGGCACCTGGCCGTGCACGCTTTCTGCTCGGGCTTACTAGTGTGAACACAGAAAGAAGAAGCACTTGCTTCGTGAAGCTATGGACCGGACAACGTAGCACGGTGCGAGAACAGCACCGTTTCTTGTTGGCTGTTTGTAGGCCTGTACTCCGCGTACTTATCGGGTATTGTTTGTGTAGTGTATTTACTTCAGACGGTGAGACGACGCCCGTACCCAGGGCGCTGTCGTGCTCAGAGAGGAGGAGTGACAGCAGGGCTGCTGCACACAACAAAAGGGGGTCCCGGTGCATCATCACTGACCCCTACCTAACTAAACGGTTCTACACCATCTGCGTCACACTTGTACGTACGGCTAACATATCCAAACCATGTCCGTAGATCCACGAACACCCTCCCTGGTTCTTCACGCAAGTGACTAACCATCAGTGGGGCAAAAACACCCCGGATACATCAATAAAATGCCAATACGGTGGTCGAGGGGAAACCCGGCGCCCGGGCGAAACCCCTCGAAAATAAACCCCATCCAACACAAACCATTGCTATCACGGCGGATCACAACGGCCACACTTATCAGGAAGGCCAAGGCGAAGACAAGAATGCGAGGCAAGCCTCCTACTCCTGCCATTGGTACACAGCCCGCGACAGTAATGCATCTTTCCCCGCATGGTATACATGACCTTCCCCAAGCGCAAAAAAATCCTACAGTAACTCCGGCAAATTCATCAGCTTTTTCCGGTGGTACCGCAGGTTGCTCTTGCTAAGAGCCTTGGTGAGCATGTCTGCATGTTGCTCCTGCTGGAATACTCAATGTCATTCAATATGTTTTTTGCGAACTTCTGAGTCTGGTCTTGTCTTGGTCCTTTTTATCCCCCCGAGCGCCGAAGTCCGATGGATCCTTAGGAATCCGGTCTTTTGCTTTCGCGAATTGCCCCCAAAGACCCGAGAAAAGCTCCGATTTTGTCTTGCTCAGTTTTGTCTTTGAAGGAACAATGGCGAACCAACTGCAGTACCGCAAGACAGTTCGACAGACGTCACTGCACGCCACACCCGGTGCAATGCATGCCGGGAACATGGTGCATCTGCGTCAAGTGAACCGCGCCATCCCGTTCTACATGCTCATGAGTGACACACCAAGCCGACGTGACGAGGATGACGCCGGGGCGGGGTGCAGCATACATCTTAGGAGTGCGGCACAGGTGGAGGCGGAGGTGATGGAGTTGGGGATGCTTCAAGCGGCGTGGGAGCGTGAGGAGCTGCTGCGCGTGCGCCCTGTGGACCGTGCTCCCGTGATTTGTTTAGCGCAGACTATCGACCCCGTCGACGACTGCGACGCGTATCACAACTTCCGCGTGTTGAAGGAGGACATGTTCGGCTGCTGGCGGCGCTACGTTTCCCGGAGCAAGTTAGGCTGGAGAATGGATCGACGTTTAGCGGAGAGGAGGCATTCCTGCTTCTTCTCATGAGGATGAGGTGAGATGCCGTGATGACTGCTGTGTGTTCTGTTATTTCTGTTGTTGTTATCTGATTACTGTAGTGCGGCACTTCAAGCACACCAGCCACCAGCCCGTGTGCTGCACGCGTGTCGCGGCTGGTGGGAATGTGGTAGCAGCAGATAGGTTAGTTGGAGCAGCTGTGCTGACGGATAACTACGGTGGCTACGTGCTGTGCGTGCTCATTTGTTCGGTGGTCTCCGAAAAGTGGGAGGTGATATGCTAACGGCATGCTCTTCGACGCATGTAAAAAGCAAGTCCACGCACATGGGTTGGGCGTCTTCGTCTACAATCCGCGATTCCGGCGTGACGCTTTGTATCGGGATACAGCATCGGGGCGTAATAAGCAACGTTGGGTAGGAACAGCACAACTTACAGCACTCACTATAGCAGAGCAGCCCGCACTCTTGTGTACCGCGACGTGCTCGTCTAATTTGAAGTATAGTTGTCCCAGCCTCCACTATTCTCGTCTAATTTGAAGTGTAGCTGTCCGAGCCTCCACCATTTTAAAAACATAAAAAAATGAACATACATCCAGTCAACACGTCTAGCTGCTGTAGGTCTGGGTTGACACGACCGCGATGATTCTTGTTGGTTGGGTAGGGCTTAGAAATTGCTACCGCGAGCCACGTCTCACGAAGTCCTCACCCCTCCTCTACCCCCTGGCGCTGTACGCAACAAAAAAGGTACCCGGGTCGCTTGTCGGACCTCGAGAAATACTTCGGCCGCGAGTACTCGCAGCTTAGCCGTCTCTTTCGGTGGGCCACGGATTTCCTGTTCGAAATGCACAGCCACCGCGTGATGGACAATCTGGCGTTCTGGGGGCCACACCTCAGGAGCTTCGCCCGAGCTGTGTACAGGAAAGGTGGGGACACGCGAAGACCGTGCACTTCGGCAGTATGTCTTGTCTAGGGTGCCGCGGAAACTCCAGACTTTGGTCTCGAAACACATACTCCTGCAAGGGTGCTATTTGGTTGAAAGATCCTGGTGTTGTGCGGATCGATGGGTAAGATTCCATTCTACACATCGTTTTTGGTGTTTGTTGTAGATATGTAGGCTACAGGTATGCATACTGCTGCAGCCGTTCTAAATTTTGTGTGTAAAATGCTGACCACGAACGTGTGGGTGGTCTCGCTTAAATTGTCCTTGGTTTTTATCCGCGGTCAGCTGTTTTCTGGATGCATCGACCGGATACATCAAATCTTTGTCTCAGGCAATTTGCTTATAGTACACAGTTTCGGGCTGGGGCTCCAAATTTGCTGAGATAAGGAAACAGATTTTGAGATAAGAAAGTTTCCTGGAAACTTCCTGCAGGCGAATATTTTCCGATTTAAGGCGGCTTCATGTGATTGGCTGTGGGACGACAGTCACCCAACGAACTCCCCCTGTTCGCAGGTACTACTGCTGTTTTCTGTGGTGCGCTGCGTGACAGCTGCAGCACCCCGATCACAGCGCTCCCACTGCTGTTGAGTGTGCATGCATGCATGCGGGTGCGTATCAATCTGTGTTGCCCCTACAACCCCAGCACACGAACTCGCACCAGAACAGCGACAGGAAGTACACATACTGCCCGGCAGCCCTGCCCGGCAGCCCTGTACGAAGTGCTGTGTATCGCATTTCAAGCGTTGGGGAGAGGGTGTTGTTCTTTGGGCGGGGGCACATCGAAGTCAAACACGCTCTCTCAAGTAGAAGAAGCAGAGAATACTCTTGCGGCGCGTCACCAGAAGGCAACTGCGTGCTCTTCTTCCTCTCTGCCCTTTGCTGGCGGTGCTGCCACCTCCTCTACGTCGTCGGTTGCCGCGGTTCGTTCCGGCGCTCTTTCTCCCCCTTGCTTCAACCTGTGTGTGACGGGCGCGTGTTGCTGACCTAAAGCCGCACAACAACCAACCCCAACTTGGTTTTCTGACCTGTAGCCTCCCCCTTTTTGTGTTGGTGGCGCGCCAACTCCAGGGCCTTTGCGCTGGGCGCTGGGTCTTATTTGGGCGGCCGCTGGACATGTCCTTGCAGACTGTGTGTGTGCGTGTGGGTGGTGCCTGATGATGTGTTGTGGGTGGTGCCTGATGTCTTACTTCAAAGAAAGCTGCTAAATCGAAAAGTTGGCAAAATTTTCCACAAAACGAGCCTCCCGCCGCTGTTAAATCTGATTATTTTTTCCGGATCTTGGGTTCTGGCGAGACTGTCAGGAACGATCCTCAGAACGATGGCTTAACTCAAAATATATTTCCTTATTTCAGCTTTTTTTTGGGTCCGAAATTGTCAAGTAGTTTGGATAGGGTTAGACAATGGAATGCTTGTTCCCCCACACCTAGTAGGGTTTCAGCACATCCCGCAACAATCCTCCCCGATCGCGTACGGGTGGAGTCGCCGAGAAGCTGAGACATGTGACCGTCTTTTCAGCAGGCCGCAAAAAGCACTGTTGTTCGTACTTGCTGACATGCTGGTGTTTGTCTGTCCTGGCTCTTTCGCGTGCAGGGCGGGCGTTCGGACTAACATACGAGGACATCTGCGGGTTCATCGAAGGGACCCTCCGGCGCCAGCCCGGCGGGCACGATGACATCCAACGCGAGGTGCATCTGCATGCGGCGGCCGTAGTGCGTGTCTCGGTTCATGTCAACATTCCATTTCTCGCGTTGCTTTGGCGACGACAACATCCACAGCCCTTTTCTCGCGATGCTTTGGCGACGACAATACAGCAGGATTAGAAGTGATACAAATACTAACGAGTACCCGGCGAACATGTGTGCGCAACTCAAGCTTGAATCGCTACAAGGTAAACCGTGTGGACGAGCTTTAAGTGATGACGAGCATACGGGCTCGTTGCCAACATACGAGCATAGGCACTTGTTCTCTCACACAACAATCCCATGTGGCGATTTAAACATCAACGCCACCAGGTCAACATGTTTGTCTCGACATATTGTTGACTTCCAGTCGAAGGTGGGAGGGGGGCGGCGGCAAAGATAACAGGGCTAACTCCCCGAGCTGCTGCGTCGTTTCGGGTGTCTCGCACCGTGTTGTTTTGGGGTACCAAAGAATGCAAGGGTAGGACGATGCAATAAGCATGAAGCAAATGGGCGCCTTTCGGTCTGGTATATTTCACGACATCTCAATGTTCGTGCCGTCGCCCACGTATGTATGCGCTGCACGCTTCTGTCATGTTAAAGGTGTACGATGGGCACCACCGAGACCACGGGCTGGCATACCAAGCCGTGATGGCGCCCAACGGCATGCTCATGGATGCATGGGGGCCAGTGTCGGGGAGAAGACATGATTCCTACCTCTTGGGCGTCAGCGAGTTTAACCCTCGGCTGGCGGCGGTACAGGACCCGGAGGGACCGCAAATGAAGGTGTACGGAGACGCTCCTACCCGCTGCTTAGCCACGTGCGCCGGGAGTTTAAGGGGGCTAATCTGACGGACGAGCAACGGGCCTTCAACCAGGCGAACTCGAAGATGAGAATCTCCGTTGAGTGGGTAAGAATGGCTACATGGCACAACATCTTACGTGTTTTGGGTGGTGCATAAATCATGGCGTTATCCTAGGCTTCCCACTGCGCTCACCATGGTGACGACAAGGAATGAAACATCTTCATACGCGTCGGATTCTTGCGCGCGCAAGATGCGCTTTTTTGGGGGTGTCGTTTCGGGCATATCGCAGCACGAAGAAACTGTACCTGGGTGCGGATCGTGCGGTTTCGGACAAGTTGAGGTCACCATCCCTTCCCCGCTGTCATTTCCCATTTGGAGAATCTTGATGCTGCACCGAGGAGTGGTCGACCCCCCCCCTCCCCCTCCTTGCGCGGTCAACAAGTAACACATGACAATATTATTGGCTTGCTCTCCCCCCCCCCCCCCACTCCCCCCTTGCGTCCACGTAGTAGATAGGATTAGGGTTGTTGCCCCGTACACAGCAGTTACGGTAAACCAAGAGCAGTTGTGGTCTCCTGCCGTGATTTTCTTGCTACATCGATCATCATACCATATCTTCGGTGCACCGCGTTTGCGCCCGGGGATGCCGCATGTCCGTCAGATTGCACACCGCATGATCGTCAGATTGCACACCGCATGGGTGTAGGGTATGGTTCCGAGGTGCGCTTGTGTGTTTCGGTATAAGCTTAATGAAAATGTCCAACAGCACCTCGCGAACATGAAGGAGTTTGTTTGTGTTTTAAGTACTACCCCAGACCAACCTCCCCCAACCTTCTCGTCGTGCGTCTTCGTCCTGTTGACCCCCGACCCCCCATCAGAGGGCTTCTCGCTATATTGTGTGCCGCCGCGCATGACCCTCAGCATATCAAACCAAGCAATTATCCAGGCTACGTACGCGATGCTCACACCTTCCAACTGTTCCGTCCCGCGTCGTTCGTGTTCCTCAACCAGGGCTTCGGGAAAGTGATTCAGCTGTTACCGTTCTGTGACTTTCGCAAGAACCAAAAGCTCTTCCTCCAGCCGGTAGGGAGGTACTACATCAACGCCTGCGTTCTGACCAACGCCCACACATGCCTACGCGGGTCTCAGACGGGGGCGTACTTTGACATGGTGCTTCCCACTCTCGAAGAATATTTTGCGTAAGGGCGATGTGAAGTTCCAACCTACATTTGATTTGTATTTTTTCTCATGCACAGGTAGTCGTTAGCACCTACTTGGGATTACCTGGTACACAATAGGCTTCCCAGTAGTCGTCGAGACGTGCTCCCGACTGTATTTTAGGGTTGACTGTTACCACGACTAGCAGGGAATGGGAGGGAAAGGAATACCTCAGATCGGTCAGTGAGACCAAGTTTTACATTTTGTAGGGACGGCTGGGCCTTGTGTTAAGAGAACGCGCGGGGTTGGATGGGATAAGTTGGCTTTTGCGGGAAATATTCGCGTCAAACGTGCAGCAGCGATGACGGACGTGCCTATATTGGGTCGGTTGTGTTTAGTCGCGCGCTATGTTCCATGATTTTTGGGTACTAAGGTGTTGCTGGTTACGTGGGTTTTCTGTTGTAGTCGCGACTTAGTCGTACCAGTGTATCCAACTTGTCACACCCCGACCAGAGATAGCGCCTATCACAGTGACCCGGTTGAGGTGTATGCACATGCAGAAATAATGAATCCGCCTTTCAAGCGATGTTTATTTTGGGGACCATGTTCACTTTTTTTGTGAGGAGGCTCCTGCAAGTTGATTTTCGCATCACCCGACACGTAGAACCCGACCATTTTCGCGAACTCCATAGACTACGATAGGTAACGGGTACAGGATAACCCTTCGAGCCCACCAGTGTACAAGGCACATTGAGGTGACATACAACCACTGCGCTCATAGAACGACACAGGCAGAACACGAACGTTCTAGTAGTAGTAGTTGAAACAGGCCAAAGTGGTGCTGCGACGATTATCAACAACAGGCGCGAAGCTCGGGACAAAATGCACTCAACGGTCAGCACCGACCACAGACGGGCTTTTCGCTCGCGACTTGAACTGGCGAGCTAATCAAACCAAAGTAACTAAATAACGCTTTGGTAACTCCTTGAAGGGTTGCAACAGCAAAAAAATAAATCCCTCCACAGGCGCCAGGATAACAATTTAACTACAGCTTGTAAATAGCGCATGCCGAACAACATCCACAACGCCCACCCCCAGAAAAAAAAAAACACCCACCAAGGACAACGGAAATAGCCAAGCTCGTCGGCCCTGCTCTTGTAGTACGGAAGGCAACCATACGAGAGTGAAAACATCCTCTCGACAGCACCGGCCCCCCCGCGATACAGCGGACCCATGCGATCGGCAGGACGACAAATCCAGCAAATACTATATATATATGAAAACATCGAATGTTAGCCCCCCTCATACTCTACCAGCAGACGATGTCGAAAAACAAACAGAGGGAAGCACGAATTCCAACCTTGACACTTTTTCGCCCCACAAAGAAGTGTTGTGGGACACTTTCGACTCCCCTGTCGAGCATTCTCTCGACTTCAACCACAACTGCGAAAATCACAACCGAGGTGCCAAATCGCCGGGCACACCTTGACCTGGAAGCGTGCACAAACAAGCCGAGATAAAACCCTGCTTGTCCTTGTGCTTCGCAGCAAGGTTCTTGATAAGCTTCATCATCATCGCATTTTGGGCAGCTGCTGCGTTGGCCGTCGGGGCGGCTTCCTTGGCCCGGTTCTGCACTTGGAGCTTGGCGAGTTTGTGAGCATCATCATGGCGCTTGGTATCGGCCTCGAGCTTCGCGTTGTTGTAGTCCTTTTCTGTCTAGAGCCTTTCTTTTTCTAGCATCAGCTTGTCTGCGTTGTGCTGAGACTCAGCCTGCATGCGGGCTACTTCCAAGGACATCTTTTCGTCGTCGCGGTCACGCTCAAGTCCCCAGCTCGCCTCCGCGTCGGCTCTGGCCACCACCGCCAAGTCCGTATCGTGCTGGAATTTTTCCTCCTCCAGCTTGGTTGTTTTGTCAAGCCGAGCCCCGTCCCGTGCATCCATCTCCATTTTATTAGCCATGTAGGCAGACAATGCGTCCTTCGTGTCTATTATTCCCTCCTGGGCCGGGAGAGGGCCTCTGGGTCTAGCAACCTTGCCGACGGGGCCTTTCGGCTCCGGCCGGACGGCCAGTGTCGTACACGACCTCCCCGTCTGAGCCTGTTTGGCAACCTGTTACCGGAGCCGAGAGTAAGCGGAAACAACGTATCAATGTCGGTTATTTACGCGCAATGTTACCTTAGACTCCCATTGGCTCCTTCGCCCTCTTACATTACATTTTTGTTATTTGGGAGGGACACGACTGTTTTGGTGAAAGAATGAGGGTCACGTGTGTTTCGGGGAGGTTTTCAAGCTCCAGAAGAAGAGACACGACACGAGCTACAGCCTTTTTCTCGTGCGGTCGTTTAGAACGCCAAGTGGCTACACTCGCGTGAACAGGTGTCGCCGTAAACCTACCTGGATAGAATCAACGCCGTGGTAACCTCAACCACCCTGTCGCCCCATGACGTGGCTTGCACGGGCTGCTCTATGTACTTTCTTGCCGCACGCCCATCCCACTTAGGGTGAGGGTTAGAACAAAGCAAGAGTGCTACACTCGCACTTTGGATCACGGCGCGCATATTCGTGTACCTCGCTGCCACCCGTCGAAAGCATCACGCATAGGCCGACGACGTAGATTGGCGCCCACAACAGATGGAACTAAAGCACAGCAATGACAAACATGTACAGGAAAACACAAACGTCTACTCTTCCTGGCTGCCGCAGCTACATTTAGCGACACAAAAACGTCAAGTATGTTGAGGCTCACCTCCTCCCCTTGTTGCTCCTTATGCTGAAGCTCAGCATTCTGGCCTGCCCTCAGGCGAGCCCGTTCCTCCTCTGCGTCATCCTCCTGCGCCAGCGCCTCGCTCGTCCAGAGCCCGCACAATCTGCCCACCAAACTGACTCGCTGACGTCACTCACGAACTGAGCTTTTTTTTTATCATCCTTTGTTTTCTTTAACAGCGTGTCGTACTTCCCGCGCGCCTTCTCGCCTGTGATCACCGCCCCCTGGGAGGCCTGCTGGGCAAAGTCTGGCGTCTGCAACAGCACCTCCGCAATTTTGTCGAACCCCTTATCCTTGCCAAGCGATTGGAGAGTGTCCTTCTGAGCATTGACCTGCGTGATTTGCAAATTGGAACACGTACGTGTGGGTTTTGGAACATCAGATTCGAGCACATGTTGTGCGAGTCTAGGAACGTCGAACACGGATCACGAGCTAACGGAAGGACAAAATCGCGTACCACAAAATCTATGTCGACAATACTTGAATGAGTACTTGCAGAATAGAGGTGGGGTTGGATTGGTCAGCAACAGTTTTGGACTCCATTTCTGCCCGCAAGAATATCGCTACAGCAGTTGTAGCTGTATAGTGGGGGAGCCGCAATGCAATCTTCCTTTCTACATTTGCTGTACCAAACTTGAAGCCACACGGCTCTCTCTCGCTCACGCACTTTTTTTCTGCCTCACCGAGCGGACAGAAGACAGAGAGAGGTTCGCCGTAGCTCGAAACTACGTTGAAAAAATGGTGACAACCCACGCCCACAAAATAGGAGGGAAAGGGACAGGTGTGCGTGTTCTTCAAACCAATGCGGCCAACCTTCCACGATGTAGCACGAATGCTTTAGAAGTACCAGTATTATTGATTTGTACATTTTTTAGACATGTATCATGTTATATATACAAGGGCTCCGGACTTCGGGCACAGAGGCGCCCTCGTCCTCAGTAGTAGGCTTAAAGGGAATGTGTGAAGGCTGTGCCCAACATACCAAGGGCATGAAACCGCAGAGTGATCGAATGAACGGTGTGAAGATGTTCGCGTTGTATTTGAGAAATGTGCCGCTCCCGGTGTAACATGAAGCCAAAATAGTCGCGTGTACGTGAAGTTTTGTCTAGCTTCGCCCGGTGCGG